CTACATGCACACTACTTTGAAGCGTTATTGGTACATGTTTGTGTAACGTCACGTATTTTTCTGCTTATGTTATAGTCATAATCACTACAAAACTCACTTTAAATAATCGAGGTAAATTTAATAGCGTCGTGGAGGATAAAAAAAGTTTGTGGAAAAAGATTAAATTGGTAGAACATATACTATTCTAATTAGAAACTATTGAATCCACTTATTGCAATTATTTATTTATTCTATTCTTAAATATTATTTATTTTATAAGGAAAAAATCTAAACTCAGTATTACAAAGAGGAAAGATAAGTATTTTTGTATGCATTGAAATAACACAAAAATTACTGGACCGATCTGGAAAATGTTTCACCATTAAAAAGCTACGTTTTCGTTGAACAACATAGGCTATATTTTCAATTTCCATGATGTTCGTAAGCTAGTACAAGATAAACCATGCCAATATTCAGAGTAGCCATATAATAAAAAATATATACGTGTTTTCTCTTCTTTGTTAAAAGAAATGTACAAAATAAATGATTGGTGATATATAAAGCCGGGTACCTTCTGCTCTATTCATGAACGTAATCTACGAAATTAAAATTAATTATGCACTATCAAGCGACCCTTCCAAACAACTGGTGGAACCACTAAAGAATTTTTTCCTTTAAGCTTTTCACAAAGCCCTTCCCGTCGGTGCCACGCACCTATTGTTAAGAGGATAAAATAATAGAGATTACAAAGGAAGGTTCCTTTTTTCTTTTAATATAACGCGAACTTGTTCACAATAGCAGCACCTTCTGCTAAGCGATGTCAGTGACACCAGCCGTATTGTCTCACGATATCTCCTACACTTGCATTTTGTATAATGAATATTTTAAACAATTTACATTTTAAAATTGTAAATATAAATAATAGTAATTATAAATGATTCGATGCAACTAACTCTTATTAATTTTTTAGTTCAACTAGCCTTAACTAGTTAATCTCATGGCTTCGTACACGCGTAATTTAGCTTTTTAATGGTAAAAGAATTTTTAAATCGGCTTAGTAGTTTTGGAGTCATTTCAATAACAAAAATATAAATCTTTTCTCTTTATAATACAGTATAGATAAAGTTTAGATTAATTAACGAATAACATACATTATGTATCAAACGCTATTTCTTAATAACGGTTTTTTAAGTTAATTAAATCTACAGTGACAGAAGATTGAATACGATGGTGGCCTTTAAGAAAAAGAAATCAAATAAGCTGTAATTGTTCCAGCATTTATTAAGTCAACTTAAGGCAAATTACTACGAACTTCATAAAGTTTCACGAAGTTAGAAAATAGCGTAAATAGGAAATTTGTTTTAGAGCTCCTTTTAAATATCATTAACCTGTCGCGTACAGCAAAGCCGATAAACAAACTTGACATATTTCAACCAAGGAGCAGAAAACTTTCTTTACGATATTTTTAAAACCTTCGCTTGCTTATGAACTTTGCCTTCAAGTTAAATCTTGACACGAAAGCTTTTAAAAAAATAATGAAATTTCAATTTATTATACCTGTTAATCTATTTACTCTAGGTTATGTCCGAAAGGTATACATGTAAGTATACTTTTTTAATAGACTTTATATATAGTAATACCAATTTTAAAAAGTATTTTCTAATCTATTCTTGACCAAGTTTCAGATACCATAGAGATTGCGTGGCTCCCTAAGTACTAGGGCATCATAAGAGAAAGGCGTATGATGTTTTATTGCTATCGCGTGTCTACAGAACATTGAGGTAAATGGGATTAAAACATTTTTCTCTTCGTATCTCTCCTCTCCTACTTTTATAAAAGTTTATTTTTTATGTAAATGAGTAGCGACTTTAAGGCATTTTGCCTTATTCATTAAAAATTCACGCATATCTCTTAAAATCAATGATATTTCAAAATAGGCATATAACAGTGCAACAGATAATAACGATAATTATTATGAGGTCAGTGACACTTCAGTTTGATACGACTTTAATCTTATCACATTTAAACAAGACTCGTGGTGCAGCCGAAAAAAATATTTCGATAAATATTAAATAATAATTGTAATAATTACACTGGATGTGTATTTTATGTATGATTTGTTACAGTTTTCTGCCACTTCAACATTATATAGAATTATTGATTATTAAAATATTATTACAATTAAATATTAATAAATTTGATTTGAAAAACATCTTTAAATTCATGTCAAAGATAATTTGAAAATATTAATAAAATCTTATAATGTTTGATAATTTATATGATTTCAAGACGGAGGTTTACATAGCAGTAATAAATATTACCTCATTCTAGGTGACGCTATTAAGCTTGAAACGTGTGCATGCAGCACAAACGGTTATAATTATTATGCACGTTCGTCTTTCTTAATAATTTCTACCATAAATTATATTTAACTCTGCTAACAATTGTATTATTCATGTCAGAATAACATGAATTAATATTTAAAACATATTCTGCGGTGAGTTGATGGATTGTAATTTAGGTAAATAATATAAAGCCAACAACTGTCATAAAACCCTAGCGAACCATATAGGATTCTATAGTATAGTTTTTGTATTGAATTATAAATTTAAAACAAAAACTTAGGCAGTTCATTAAAAAAAATGGCGTTGAACATGGGAGTTTTTAGACAGATGCAAAAACGCTGAAAAACCACTACTGTTTCCGACCGCGTAGTGCATTCAAATGAAGATGAATGTTTGACTTCGCCACCCATTAACAGACTCCGTGATAAATAGATGCTTGTTTCCACTTGTTTAAGCTTGCGAAATTTGGATATATGAGTAGTACAAATTAAGACCATTATTTATTTCAAATATTTATGTCTATTGTAATTATGCATATTTAATACTAGCTGAAAAATAAGACCAATAACACTGGACGTTGACTATCAGTTGCAACTATTAATGCATGTTTGTTAGTAAAGCAATGCTTGCTATTGTGTCTCATTGTTCCGCCTTCGTGTGAAACTACCATAAAGGAGAGCTGATAGAAAGCATTTTGTTGTTTCAATTAATATGTTAATTATGTTTCCAACACCAATAATGCTTAAACTAACTGTATTCCTGATACGAATCTAAATTGGAAATTTTCCTCAAACTTGAAAACCAATCAGAAAGTTGAACATTCAAAATCACACAAAGTATTTCAATATTCATTGCCCCGCATCGGAGGCGAGAGCAACATTCGAGTTCCTAAACATACATTATTTTGCCTCGATAATAAGACCCTGAACAAATCTACACACTCTCAAGAACATTCAGTGTGTATCTTTAACTTAATTTAAACTTTTTGTATCATCACTAAGCGAGAAAGCGTGTCGAACATTCATTTGATAGAATATTTATTATGTTTGTCTGTGGCGACCCTACTCTATGTACCTAATCTTTTAAAAGAAAACAAAACAAAACTTGGAAAATTTTATTTCCCATCGGGCCGATCGATTGAAAGGACGATCGGCCCAACAGGAAACACTTATTTTTTTAAAGTATCTGTAATGTAAAAACGATACTTGACTTTATTAGTTTGTTCTGTAAAATTACTGACTATTTTATAAATACGTTAGAAAGTAACATAATTTTAAATAGTTCTTACTTTCCAACGGTCAAACTACGAAAGCAAATTTTAAACAAAAGTTTGTTAAAGCTTATAAAGTAAGGAAATTTCTTAATTTTACATTTATAAGCTTAAATAACCATTGCACAGTTAAAATATTAAATAACTAAAAATGTGTAACTGAGATAAATATTGTACAATAGTTTATTATTGAAGGGGATTTACAAAAGTAAAAACATTTACTGGAGGAAAGTAAGAAATGTACTCATATAATAACAAATTCCGAGCATGCACACAATTCTATGAAATGATAATAGTTAATTACTGAGAACAATGTCCGTTGTAGTGATAAATGAATAGCTCGGGACACAAAGATACGGGAATTATTTCTTATACTTTTAATGCTAGCAATTTGTTTAGATAATGCCACTGGTATTAACTTATTTTTAATCAACTCGACAATTTTTTGATTTTATCTCAATTCTTTATTTTTTAATTATCCGTCAAAGAAAATATAACTGTTTTAAAGAAAGATACATTTTATAAGTAATTCGTATTCATTCCAATATTGAGACAAAATTAATACAAATACTATCCATTTCAATGAATTATTAATGGTCGGTTTCCCAGCTACATTTAACCATTCCTTAGTGTTTTTGGTTAGATTACTTCATGAAATGCGTTTCGGAACTACGAAACTTGAGTTTAACTCCATTGAAACTTAGGTCAAGCTGAAATGAATAACTAGGTAACGATAAAAGAAATGGAAATTTCAGAAACTCAGCATAAAAAGCTCTAATTCATTTTAATCGATTTTTTTTTCTTTTTAATTAATGGTGATTTGAGAAAGAAAAGTAAAACCTTTTTCTATTTCCATTTGTATCCCATAGCTTCAAATTTACCTGACCCTCCCCTTCGGACCCTATTTCCAAATTACGGCAAATATTACAGCACCGAAAGATTGGGTCCAATTTCACCCTAAACTCTTGTTATTTATTCAAGTATTATTAATTTAAAAAAGGTACAAAAGGAAGCTTCTTTTTCAATATTTCTATTTGAACGAAAAATAAACTAAATAAGCCTACTGTTTTAATTCTACAAAGACAAAAAATTGTTAGTAACGTAAATTAAACTTTAAAATTATGTAAATTCTATTACTAGTAACTTTTTTAATAACATAAGACTTAAATAGTGGACCGCATGGACTGTAACCATCATCACAACACTGTAGATATCTACTTCTAAATAAAGATGTAGAAGGGAACGATAAGTTAAATCAACATAAAGAAACTAAAAGTCTAGTTCTGCATAGAGCGCGCCTTTAAGAGTTAGTGTTAAAATTTAAACAAGTTCCGCGAAGTAATAACAATTTAATAAGATAATAGCAACGTTCGAGATCACGACAGCATCGAATAAGGTAAACATGCAGCGGGGCTAGGGGTTATCTGTACATATTCATATATTGCCTTGACAATGCTTTCCTCCAACATTCTACCTTCCACCACATACTCAGTACGACCAAGACAAACAAATCAAGTGAGTAAAAATGTAATATTAAAAATAATAAACTTAGTTCACGCACTTTATAATCATCATATTTATCATTGCATTCACTATACTTAAATTCCATAAAATAAGATTTTTGACATCACGGTTTATTTGCATGCTTCTTCAAGAAAATCGAACCAATAAAATGTTTATTCTTCTTGTTGGTGGATCAAAATCGGCTGTTTCGTTATACAATTGTTGTCGAACGTTCTCGATGTCGGCACAAGACATATTATTGCTTGTTTTCCGTTCACTTGATCCGTGTAGGGATTTCCAATTCTCTTGTTAATATTATCTATTCGAGATATAGAATTTAATACGAAATAGAAATTTACGATTATTAAATTTCTAATTGCATTGTAAGATTATTGTATTAGATATACTGTTTTATTTTAACTGAATAGAACCTTTGTTCTTCATAGATAATTCAATTTGTAATTAGTTGATATGATTAAGGATTTATACTCGAATTGCTACGATATTAATATTTGATAAAGAATTATCTAAAATTAACCAATTTAACTTCATATTGTATTCTCTCTGTGTACAATTCTTAAATAATGAATTTACGTTAACACTCCAATATATTTTTTACTCCACAGCACCATAAATCCATATAAAGTAGAATGTCGTGTACTCATAAATTCCACCGACATCCGCTTCGCTACGACGTCCCCTGACGATACTGTCATTCACTTTTACAACAAAAACATTCTTCGTCTTATTCTATCATCGTTTGTCTTTTCCAAATACCCAAATATATCTTTTTAGAACATAAAATTCTCAATAAATCTTTAATACTTTAGCATGCATCATATTTTTTTCGTCTTCTCTTACACGTCCATATAACTCAATCGCTATATTAAGATTTAATAATATTTTTAAAGGTCTATCATAATCGATTACTTCAAAGATGTACATGCGTAAAGGTTGCGTGGACTATGTCGTAATAAAAAAAAATTAAATGAACATTTGACGACCAATTCGGGTAATAAATGCATTAATTTCCAGTATGAAGGCTACGTTAGTTCTGGCTGTGTTGGCATGCGTGTTGGCGCTGGCGTATGGTGACCTGGTGTGTGGGACCAACTACTGCAAACAGCATCCTTGCACGACCCGTGTGGCGCCCACCAGCTGCCGCTCGCCCTCCCTCTACCGCCCTAACCACGCTGGCAAGTGCGCGTGTTGTCCCGCTTGCGTCACTCTACTAGGTACGTTTACTTTTAATTTAAAACTGCCTGTAGCCCGTAATTTTGTTTGCGTGTATTCTCTATTCTAAGTTTCATCTAGATCCGTTCAGCATTTTTGCAATTACGATACATACATCCATCAAATCTTTCCTATTTATTAGAGAGTAAGAAATTAACTCCCACATCTACAGTCGTTAGCTGGTTACTTAGGATAGCTACTTAACGATTCCGAGTTCAACCCACCCTCGCATTCATACCCATCCCATTCAAAGTTAATATGGTTTGCTATAATGAATGTAAAATTTTGCTGCTTTAACTATCAAGAAAACCACAAACAGTGTCTTGAAAGTTTTTAATTAACTTAAATATTTATTCGTAAACTAATTAAGTTAAACTGTTTATGCAGTTTATGCAAATAATAATCTTGCTGTTAAGGGTTATCGGATCGTGAACGTTTCCAAGACATTGACCATATTAAGTATACTTAAAGTTTATAATGTTTGAACATTCTGAAGTAGTTTATTTAAATACAATAAAACTTACGTTGTCATTTTAAAACAGAATTTCGCTTGCAAATGACATCTGTACTAAAATTATAAAGAGTAAAGATTTGTATTTTTGAATGTATTGTAACAACTCAAACACTACTTTGTCGATTTCAAAAATTCTTTTACTATTAAAAAGCTACGTTATTTCATAGTGTTCTTTTAATTTTACGTGGACGAAGTCACGAGCTACAGCTACAATACTTTGTATATTTTAAGTTAAGTATTTGAAAAATATATCCTTTGGATAAAATAAAACGTATCCAAAAGTAAGCAGTGCATTACATCTTCATAACTTGTTTTAACTATGAAAAAAAAATAAAAACTGGTTTGTATAATTTCAGGTGAGGGCGCTGCATGCAAAACTTACAGCAAGGAGCTGGGAGAGACGCCCTCGGCTGTCTGCCGCGAGCCGCTCAAATGCCTGACCGGAGTCTGCACCAAAGTTACTCCGCGCCGTTAACTCTATAAACAAAAGGTTAAATTAAGTTCCCAATTAAATGATGATGGTGACCAAAATTGACATGTGAAGCGCAAGCGCAATGCATTAACTTTGACACTTCTTAATAAACAATAGTTAACAAACTACGTCTTGTCATTTAACAAGTTTCCAAACATGTACATTTCTGGAGTAGTTCCTACTCATTTTTGGCGAATTTTACTCTCTCGATGCAATTGGGTCGAAATCTTGTCATAGTAACTTACAGACTTCCTTAATTATAACCGGTATGGTGACAGGTTGTATATTACAGAGTAAATGGGAAGCGAATTAAATTCTTTGACTGCTCCTGTTTAAATCCGTGTACCCTGTATTCGGTATCAGGTCGTGAAATGTTGTTTATTTATTCACAAAGTGTTGTGTATACTGTATGAAGTCGCTTCATGATAGCGAGCAAGAGCAAGCACAAATAGGTCAGTAGCATTTCATCTGTTTGATGTTTAGTATTCCGAACACGGAACAAATTGATACTGTATTCAACTGCAGCCGGTATCAACAAACAAGCCAAATTCACATCTTTAATATATTACATGCATTCAACATTTTATAGTCTATATTTTAAGTATCTAAGTATATTGGAACGAAAGTGAATTAAGTTGCAGATACTTAGGTAGCTTTACTCAAGAATGAAAATGGCATCAAAGTCTGCAAGTGGAAATATAAACTCCTAAACGTGACATAGTACTGTACTTCATTTAAATTCAAACCAATGACCTAACTGAAATCTGAATGTTATCGCAGAGCATAAAACTCAATAACAATAATCTGTCCCTCATATATTTCATATGTATAAATTAACCTTGTTATTTGTCTCTAAAATGGCAGGAATACAACTCAATAAAATAAATAAAATTACCTTTATTCCATTTCGGAGACAATCAAACATGTCACATTACGCAAAACTCACTGTGGTTGGTATAAAAACGTTATGAATAAAGAAATCCATGACGATAACAATGTTATGTATCCATACAATATCCATTTAGTGTGTTAACGATGGACATATGAGCGTAGTGAGGTACGTCCTTAACTAGAGTCACAGGCGGCGACGCAAGAATAATAAAGGCCCATAAACATTTTATGCTTTCACTGTTTATACCTCCCGTAGCGCCTTTCCCAGCCTTATTGCAAAGTAAAACTGCAGGTAAATATTCCTCCATCCGCTCCACTACAGCTTTAGCGTTAAATTATACGTTTTTCACATTTCGCTTTCCTCTATGACTACACAGAATACTAGAATTTTAGAAGTAGACGTGGAAGTTTTTCAAACACCGCGATTTCAACCTCAACATGGATAAATGGAGCGTAATTGAATATTAAAAACTAACTTAAAAACTCTCTCTCTTTCTCTAAAAAAATATTGTAACGCAAATAAACTAAAGTATTCGTTTCTATCATAACACTCTTGAAAATACAATTGAAAATCGTACCTTTTTATTGAAATTGAGGTATTTATTGTAATTATTTTCCATCAAAAGCGAACATGTCCTCCCACAGGTGCGTATCAATCAAATATCCCAGCGCACTCTACCTTCCAATATATTGATAATCTGAAATGAAATTGATGCTATATTTAACCTGCAATCTGTTACAAAAATGGATATAAATCTATCGAGATGAATGATGAGGTCTATGACCTTTCTGTTTGAGATAAATCGTTTTTTGTTTCACTGAACCCGGTATGTCACAAAGAGTTACAAATTGATAATATGAAAGCAGGAATTTTTGTAAAATTTATTTCTTTCTTTGCCATATACAGCAATTTAGCGTTTCTTTCGCTAGTTATTAATAAGTGTGTAATAAGTGTAAATACATTTCAATTAAATGAAAAGTAAAAATAAGTTTTTATGTTGAATGCCGTTTCTCGCAGGACCCTTAAACTGTATATAGCCATCGCAGAAGTGTTTAGTCGGAAATTCAACAAAGCTCTCACAACAAAATGCCTATTTCTACTAAGCGGTTAGCAGCAATTGTTACATCTGTCGACGACTACTTTAACAATCTGAAATTCGCGTAGGCAGGCACACTATGGGGAGTCGCCTACTCTATATTTTGACCGCAACCTCTGTACAAAATTACATCCATGCAGACCCAAAGTCGCGCGCCTAGTCGCCTAGTGGAAATATCCGCTAAGGGTTAATGCCAAAGGTCACGCGGTCGCGCTCTTTGATACCTAGTTTATTCGCTTTTCTCATTCGATATTTCAGGAACCATAGTTAGTAGTATACAATAATTGTATTTATTTTCACAATCAAGCGCAATCGGTGGAGGAAAGGTAATATGAAAGAATTTTATTACGTGTCATAAAGTGTGCCATAGTTCTAAAGAAAATGTAGACAATATTGTCGCTACGACCGGCTTTACGGGATATAATATACTATGATAAACAGACATAAAGATGTCATAAAATCGTATCGGCAATAAATCTGACACTTTTATTACGTACGCAGTAACTGTATTTGTTTCATCAATCTCAACTGAATACTAAAATTGAAACGCCCGTCGAGCCCCGATGCCGGTTGTATGCCAGTCCAGTTATTGAGCGCAAAGTATGGATGAATGTTTGTTGGAAGGAATCTCTGTAACAACAAAACAACATGTAGAACATAGTCTGGAAGTGTACACGGCCTACTTACCTTTGTGTTTTTTTTAAAGTAAGCGCTGACGGAGACGCGGGAAAAAGCTAGTAAATTATAAACATCACACTATGAAGTTATTTTTTTCTTTATTTAATAGGACAAAAAATGACATCATTTTAAAATCACACGGAAGGTATTTTAATTTTTAACTTAAATTCAACATGTTATATTATGACGACGAAGACCGCTCACAATGAACCATTAAAAAATTTCTTACTGTGTTTTATATTCATTTATATATTTTTTTTAATAAACCTTTTTAATACACTTTACATCAACTTAAATTATTATATTATCTAAGATAACACGGGTATTTTTAATAAATTCTATTCAGTTTTTTTATCAGTTGCTGCAAATAAATTCAATCAGACTTGATAGTTATAGAGATAAAAAAATATATTACGATAGTGATTGCATACAGGTGATTTTAATTAATACATTTTGAGCAATTGATACTAAAATTTATCAAAGAAAACATAACCGAAACTCGTTGAACAGCTGGTGCGACTGATTGCTTGTTACAATCGCGTCGTCACCCTTCGATAAGGGAGTCCACTAGTGAAGTTAGCAGTAATGAATATTAAATATAAAATACATTCGTTGCAGTAAACAAGTGTCATTATAATAATCGTCTGCTCTTTGACACCATTTTGACGTAACAGTATACAACTATCATTTATTTTAATACCCACATTCATAACTAATTGGGTTAAATAGTGCAGTTGTTTTGATCAAAAGTGGCTTATCATAGGAAAATAAAAACTTAATAAATGTTTCCACTAGTGTTTTGTGTTAAGTTTTAGTGATTTCATATATCGAAGAGTACGTAATTTATCAATTTAGTATTTGGGTTATTGCTGCATGTGAAAGGTTAGTGAGATAGAAAACAATGTAATAAATTATCTGTTGTTGTATCGAATCTGATGAAATACATAATTATTTATACATTTTAGTAACGACTTTATTATAAAACAACTTTAGTATTGTGTGGACTTGCTTTTATTTCACGTTACATAGTGAGTTAATATTTATTAATTACAAAAGGATATTTATTTTTTGTTATTTTAATGTTAATTTGTAACTATTAATTTAGCACCCTGTGATGAACTATCCTCTTCTGTTTCAAGCAATAGCTAATGCGGGTGAAAGTAGAAATAAAATTAATTTTCGAACTCAATTATTTAAACAACGTAATCCAGAATTAATTACAGATCTATAATTTATGCTTGGTAACTTAATGTCTTAAGTATATTTCGATATCCAAAGATTTTAATTAATTTAATCATATTTTACATTAAACTTTCAGAACATGACGGAAAGTGAAAAATTTAATTTACGAAGACGCAAGCAAGATGTAATAACACAAAATGGGATCACGAAGCAAGATGAGGAAAAAAAGGGCCTTCCTGAATTTATGCATCGAGATTCGCCTCTAACGGTACTTATAGAAGGCTCACTTCATATAAGAGCTATATACCATATATTTGTGGTGATTCTCGTGGTGCTGCTCTGCGACACCGTGATATACGACTTCGTTGAACGTGGAAAGCAAGTAAATTATCTTATTTTTAATAATTAAGAAATATTCGTATCGTTTATTATCTACATTCATTTAACAATCTGACAAAATTCTTATTTTCATACTGTGAAAAGTCTTTAAATGAAAAAAAAATGTTAATTCCTTATTTAAAGTTTGAGATAGTAGTTATTAATGAATTGTTTATTTAAATTAAGTTTTTATACAACTGATATAAATTATGTCACATCAGGTCATGTTTTTCTAGTCATAATTATACTGCGTTTATCAATATTTGTTGTTGTCAACTGCTTTTACTTAAAACGGTGACTTTGTACTGACGAAAACTGTACAAAAATACAATGATTTTTTTATTGTAGGATAAATATCGGAGCAACGTCAGTGATATATGGCTTTGGTGATATACGTCGAGGCGCTAAAATCTGGTTGTTGGAGCTTGCGATCGCACTCGCGTTCTATCCCGGGCTAAGATTATACGCTGGAACTAGAAAATTCTTAGTCAAATTTCCAGGTAAGATGATAAAAAAATACCTATTGTTTACAAATATCGTCAGTTGTAATCGGACTTCTCGAATCACAATTTTTACCAATTCAAAGACAACCAAAACTTTCGATTTAACCGATTGACAAATCGGAAAATTCACTTATACTTTACCAGTATTTTTTTTAAAGATGAGGATTTAGTAAGGAAATAGTATGGTACTAGATCGGAAGCCATTTCCAATCTTACATTCAATCTTTGGAATAAATCAATGGCTTTGTTATAGACGGAAATGTTTATCTCTTCTCTCGTATCGTTTGTTTCGTAAAGCGATGCTTAATTTATCACTTTACTAGATTCGGTCAACAAAACATTAAAAATAACAGTTAAAGCTTTTTACTTAAAGTATTATTTGAAAGCGAATATGTATACGAAGATGTTGATGATGAAGATTTTTGCTGATGTTAAGTACTTACATTAATATTTTTATTTTTCAGCTGCACTGAAAATATGGTCAATCATGGGTATGCTTGGAGTCGCCGTCCTAGAGGTGATGGTGATAGCAATACCCACTTGGGATCTGGGGAAGAAGCATCTTGCCCTTGCCTCCTCTGTTGCTGTCACTTGCGAAATGGTAAGTAACATAAATATGTTAAAACATTATCAAATATTACGCTTAGTAATCATAGAGTAATCAGCGAAATATCCAACCTAAATAAACGGTAAACCAAGCTTAGTCGTATAATACAATTTGCAATTAAATAGCTCCCAAATGAAGCAATTTAACAGCGAACTATGTGAGGTGCAATCCGATATCTGTAGCGAAGCAATTAACGATTGCGGTTTAGTACGCCACAACCAAACCAATGTTACGTGTTTACACGCTGAGATCGCGAAATAACAGCTAGTTAATATTATTATGTAAGTAAAAAAGAAAATAAAATGACAGCCTGTATGCACCATGTCTAAATTAAATTTAAGGAAAGAAAAATTTTATCTAAGGGTCAAATCTCTAAGGAGTGTTCTTAGAGGTTGCACAAAATAATTTAAAACTTTTTTATGTTTATAGATTTACTAGTAACCGTAATTTTATAACATCCTATGTATATTGTACTACTCCGCTTTTATGTATTCCTTTATTAAGTCTGTAAAGTGTTACTGCTTTAATATTTCAACGTATAAATAAAGGGACCACTTTAATAAGATAACGGGAAGAAATTTATAGGTAATTCAAGCCATGCTGCTCAAATCTGTTGTGAGATATCTAATAAATATGTACATTTTTGTACGAATTTGTATCAACGGTAGACCATTAACTACCGCGAACTTTAGACGTCTAAAGCCGTAAGTATTAAATGAAATATTTTGTTGTTTCCTTCACTTTGTAGTAAAATGGATCAAACAATATTAGCACATAGCTTAACTTCAAAGTTTTGTTAATTAGATGTACATCACGAGTATATGTAAAGATAGGTACCTCCGTGTCTTTGTATTTTGGGAAACTCCAGCGAACTTCGAGCTCACGTCTAACGTCGAAGTAATTCGCAACAGCTATCATGAACTTCCACAAGCGCTCGCACAACTACCGAATACCGAAATTAGTAATTACACAACTCTGAAGAATGTTAGTATCGTATTTCGGAATACTTTCTTATTGTTCAGACGATATATTAACAATAAAAAGAAAAACAACATAATGTCAATGTCACGGGTTATAACATTTTGTATACAGCAAAAGACATAATTGAACAAAAATCTTTAAAATGTCCAAGTTTCTCTTCGTACGGACACTTTTTAGAGCAGTTCAAATGTAGTCCAACATTCTGGGCTTAGACAGGCATTTAAATTTTAGTTGCAATTGTAATTATATCATAGTAGTTAGGTCTATTGTTATGCACTTTTTTATTTAAGCTAACTGAAATCTAGGAATCTAACCACCAAACCCCGAGCTCGATATTAACAGGGGCTCATGTGTGGCGTCTAATTGCATGCTCGTATAAAGATTCATAGGTCGTGCGGCGGTACAACGTCGAAAGTGAAATGTAACATAAATCAGGCTAGACCCTTGTCAAGACTGCTAGTAAATAACGCACCGGCTGCGCTGACGGTACCCCATTACGCGGAGCCTCAGCATCTGCTACCGAGCTAGGGAAATCTGGGCACCCTTGCACCTACGAACCGTGAAAATATCATTTATTATTTACATACATCTGTTTTATATCAATATGACCAGTGTACTGTTTTTAAATGTGTTTCTTTTTTATACTTTATCAACACCAACTCGCAGTGGGCCAGCGAGGATGATTAAGGCCCCCTTACTTAGGGTAGGCTGCGAATTCCTTAGTGGAGACTTATAGTTAGCTGGTGATGACTTTATCAAGGTTTTTACACTATTATGTGATCATATATAAAAAACAAAGATTAAAAGCTAGACAGTAAATACCAAAAATCATTTTGAGTAACCATTTACATAATTAAACTTTGTTGCATTTATTTCACCTTACAGTAATGGGCTTAGAACATTAGACGTGTTGAATTTTTAAATCTCTTTTAAATCAATGTTAAATGAAATGTAACAAATAATATTAGATACAGATTACAATACTTGTTTCCTTTACGATATAACATAAAAATGCAATTCAATTCACAAGAATCAATGCCTCTGTAATACTGTTAAAGCTCTCAGCGCCTCCATTAACTCCTTTTATCCGTAATCCTCTTGAGAGAGGGAAGTAGCGAGGAATAGAAAATTTTCAACAAAAATTTTATAAACATTTCTCTTATAAAGTTAGAAAAAGCTGGGTTTATTTAATGGATCTGTATCTTATCTAAGAGCTGTTAGTAATAGAAACTATTCCTTGTGGTATAGACTTTAAATAATTTTATTATCGTAGTTTTGTATTTGTACACGCATTTATGTATGTGTATAGTATTGGTGTAATGTAACGAAACTACCCTTATTAATGTTCGTGTAACTGTAGTTATCCTTGTTAAGTTTATTATTCGATCCGCAATCACAATTTTACAATTTGTAATTTTCAGTTTAGATTTGCGATGAAAATTCACGCGGCCGCCGTCGCCTGCGCCCCGCGATGTCAAGACGATCTTGTAAAACTTCCCACGTTCAAGCATTATGTATACTTTCTATTTGCACCTACATTGGTATACAGAGATGAATATCCAAGGTATGTGTATTAACATGTCATCAAAGCCTATGCACCTTGTAAAGCCTATATGCTGACCTCAGATTAATTTTAGCTACAAAAAACAAAACTAAAAATGTAATTCCGTCTTAATAAAAGAATCTTCGATTTTAATTTGTACATTATTTTCTTTTCAGAACGAAGAAAATAAGGTGGGGCGTTGTATTATTTCATTTTCTGGAAGTAACGGCAATAATATTTTACAACAGTTTTCTTTGGGAAAGATTTATTCTACCCTACTGGTCAGATTACGGGAAAGAACCCAAAGTAAGTACTTTCACATTTTATTCAATTTCCTTTCTAAAGTTGTAGTAAATGTCGTGTGATATTTATTGCCTGAGATTTAGTTTTATGCGGAATTTGGTTTCATTTCTTTTTAAAGAGATTATTTTTTCATTAAAGATATTTATATTATAATGAATTAATGAATAAATGTAAACTAGTACCATCGTTATTATCAGCTTTATTTATATTTACAGAAAATATACAATTTATTATCGCTTACATTTTTTACGTTCTTTCTTTTTCAACATTTTCATGGATAACTCTCCTCGCTGCGTTTAATTTGGTTTCTAAAGACATCAGTTTATTGTCAATTTCTTCCATCCTTATACTGTGTTGCCGAGAAGTCTCTTGATGTTTTGTTAATTGGTTATTAAGGCTATGTATTTGGTCTACATCCACAGTATTCGCCAGTAACCTCGCTTGACGTATTTCTATAATAGAACTACTTTAACACCGCTGTATGCCGACACACGTACACTGAATCTATGGTTTTGAGAACATTTGTTTGTTTTCTCTTAGCCACATAACTGCTTTATATTTCTATAGTAACAAAGATACAATTTACAACAAATAGTAAGCGATCCCAAAAGTCGAGACTAACGAAGATGCCGACTCAATTAAAATTCTATTATTCAATTCAAACATTTTTTTTATCCTAAAAGTTCACATCTCCAAAACTCAAAGCTCTACCGCGCTTGTTTGAAATATGACCGGGCATAAATCTGGCGCATTCAGCAAGCATTTTTTGCATAAATCCCAAACAAACTAAACCAAGTAACATATGTTTAATTCAAACGATTGTGTAACAGTACGTTGTTATCTGAAACTAGAATTTACACAACCAACAATTGGAGTTGGGCCAAAAGATCCACGATTGCATATCCTATGGCTGACCGATGCACACTTCAAACCGTTCCCAGTCCAGCCAAATGCTCCTTTCAAATACAATTTCCGTCAGCGGTTGACTAACACCAAAAGTTATTATTATAACAGTTGGCTCGTAATAATAAAACTGTACACATTTCTTAAGTTGCAATAAAAGCAAAGAATAACAAAGTCCTCTTGCCGTCTGATGCCTTCAATGTACACAATAGAAAGCCATTAAGAAAATTGTCGTTACATTCCCTAAAAGGTTCTGTTTTCTTTCAAAGAAAAATCTTGGAACGAATCTAAAAACACTTACAGTGTACAAACACAAAGAACTTCGATATGCAATAAAACATATCACAAGAAAGCTTACACGTAAATACAATTTGAATTATTTGAGTATATTTTTGTAACCATTCATACTTTTTTAGATGTAATCTATTTCGAATATGAACGTATAAGTTTTCTTTACTTGACTCGTTTTTGAGTAAATGGAGATAAACGTAATATCTAATAGTCTAGAATTCTAATATTGTTCTAAACCCAATTTACGGTCTGTACGTCATAAAAATACAGCTACGCAGACATTATTGTCTTTTTACAGAATACTGAATAAATTCATTTATAACTAACACAAGTTTGGTTTTAAAAGATCCGTTATATTTATTTGTTACTAGCTTTCACCAGCAACTCCGTCCGCGTGAAATTTTAAAAATCCACTATCCACTAAATCTATGCTAAATTTCATCAAAATCCGTTCAGCCGTTTACCTAAACTCTATCAAACATCTATCCGTCCATCCATCCATCTAAACTTTCTCATTTATAATATTAGTAAGAGTAAGATTATACAGAAAAAGTATTAATTTAGTTTCGTATTTTTTT